CACAAAATTTCGTCCCGCGATCGATCGCTTCAAAAGGTTAACTCGAACATTCGACAGGTAACAGTGCAAACGATGTGAATCGTGGCGATCGGACGTGTTGACTCTCTGAATTGCGAAGTTTGTGCGCGGAAGTGCGAATTGTGCAAAAGACCACCATAAGGCTTAGGAAGGTCCTATAGGGATCCCTTTTGGGTTTCCTCATGTAGGTTTCACCCTTCAAAGTGCTAGAAGTCGATACCACACACGCGAAACTCCAAAAGGATACAGAAGTAGGTTCAATTTCTTAAGACGAGGTGGGCCCCATTTCTAAGGCTCTAAGATAGTCAAAGGGAGATCCCTAAGGCTAGAACCTAAACCCTAAGAGGAAGACTAAACCTCACTAAAAATGAGGTCAACAAGTATACCTTCAAGCTGTTTCTTTTCCGTCATAAAAATCTTATTTTAGCTTTGATTATTTTGTTAAGTTTGTTATAGCTCACTCAACATTGTTGACTTTCAAGAAGAGATAAGGAGTATCAGGATGAGTAGCTATGTGTGACTTGTGCCGGTTTTGTATTTCATAGTTTTGGGAGTTTGTATAGACTTTTGGGTACGTACTTTATATTTTTATGATTAGATTAATGTCTTTTATGAATATGTTTATGATTACACATGAATAAATGAAATATGTGTTTTATACACTAATATTACACGTCTTTTATTAGACATGTTTTATATGATTATAGCCTGTTGTGACATCTATTGTAGACATACATATGAGTTAGATATACACATGCCCATTGTTTCTTTTTTCTTCATAAAAAATTATTTTGACTTTGATTATTTTGATAAGCTTGTTGTATCTCACTCTACATTATGGATTTTCAAGAAGAAATAAGGAGTATCAGAGGGACTAGCTATGTGTGACTTGTACAAGTTTTGTATTTCATAGTTTTGGGAGCTTGTATAAATTTTTGGCTACGTACTTTTGCTGTTATATTTTTATGATTAAATTGATGACTTTTATGAATATGTTTATCATTACACATGAATGGATGAAATATATGTTTTATATACTACTATTACATGCCTTTTCTTTTACATGTTTTATATGATTATAGAATGTTTTGATATGTGTTGTGGACATACTTATGCGTTAGATACACATGCACATTGTTTCTTTTCCTTCATAATAATTTTATTTTTGCTTTGATTATTTGGTTAATATTGTTGTAGCTCACTCTACATTGTTGACTTTCAAGAAGAGATAAGGAGCATCAGAGTGAGTAGCTATGTATGACTTGTCCAAATTTTGTATTTCATAGTTTTGGGAGCCTGTACAGACTTTTAAATACATACTTTTATTATATTGAATTTAGCAGCTCCTTGTTTCTCTCTTTCTATATATGTATATTTGTGTGTGTTTTTATGATATGTTTTTCACGCTTCCGAGTATAATATGTGAGTGTGAATGAATAATAAAATAAAATGTATCATGTACGTTAGGGTCCAATTAGTTAGGCTAGTTCATCACCCTGATTCTGCAAGTTAGGACAAGTGTTGGTTAGAAAATTTGATCGAATCGTCTACCTTTATCACATCACACTTGACCCTTAAGGGGGTGCAGTTGGGGTGTGACATATATTTTTTATTATTTGTTGTAATTATTTAAACCATGTAAGTTTACTTTTTGCTACTTATCTCTAATAGATACATCTTCTTTCCTCAACTATAATCATTTCTCATTTTTTTTCTAGTTTTGCCATATACTAATCTTATCATTTTTGTTTTGGCTACTTTTTTGCTATTCACATTTTTTAAATTTTCATGATATTCTTTCATCATATAATCTGTTTAAGCATTTTTCCAATTTAATAATCTAGCTTTTAACTCTAGAAGTTATGCCTTCAACTGCACATCGTTCTGTTATTAAATAGATTAATGTACTTAGTTTTTCACACGTAGTTTCACTTTATCTTTTTGCAATTTTGATTACTAATTGGTCATTTCATACCCGCTTAAATTGCATGTCATATTCTTAATTTTTGTTTTGTTAATCCTCAGCTATTTATCTTGTAAACATTTTGGTCTTGCTTTCTACTCATTTCATTAAATATTTCATTGATTAGAACTGCATCATCCACAAAAATCATATACAAAGACACCTCATTTTGAATATCATTTGCAAGTGTATCCATAACCGATACTAAAAGTTATAAGCTCAATATTTGCCTTTTGATGTAATGCTCATGAAAGTGGAAACTCATTGGTTACTCCACAATAACCATTGGTTAAGGCCCCATCATTCAAAACCTTTAATAACTCATACATAATTTTTACATATTGCTTTCTTTGATGGCTTCAAATCAATCACTATGATACACAACTCTTTCAGGAAACCAATTCCCACTTACGGATGCTAAATTGGGTAGGCATTATATGATTTATATTATTCCTGTTATAGTTTCTTATAGAAAATGACGCGCGTCCCAAGAGATTGCGCAAGTTAGTGAATTACTCATCCTGTTTGTTGTGGATGCACTCTTGTCTATTGTTTAAGCTACTTAATAATATTAACCTGGCTTTGTGCTCTTCTTTGTATGGTCAGTGCAATAACTTCTTATTTTGCATTACTCTTCCATCCATTTCTCATCTAATACCGGCATTTTTGATAGAGAACATTTCTTAGAACCTGGTTACTCAGGTTTTAATAAACTTTTTAACTCTGCAATAAAATATAACTGCGATGCATCCTAATGCACTATGGTGCGCTCTGACCACCTATATGTTTGATTTTGCAAGAGAATTACCTCAATTCTTAGAATTACAAATGTTCTCACTGTTCATATTTGAATTCTTGTTCATCTCATGGATGCAATGTACAAATTGGTGTATAGGTTTCACGATCTCTTGCAGCTTGTGAAGGAGCCCTTCTAGTTGTAGATGCTTCTCAGGTGCACTCTCTTTCCTTTTACCAGTAAGTTACAGCAGCAGTTGTCCTCAATCTCTGAAACTGATTATTTGTGATCTGGTTTAATTCTATTCCTATTTCCGTAGTTAGAATCTCACTGCTAATTTATTCAGTTTCTCTAGTTTATAGCAGATACTTATCCCCCATTGGATTATTTTGATTCAGGGTGTGGAGGCTCAGACATTAGCTAATGTTTATCTCGCTCTAGAAAGCAACCTAGAAATAATACCTGTGAGGAGTTTCTATACTTTTACATTAATGCCTATTAAACATTTTCTATGGCTACTTCCATCTTAAGATGTGCTATGGGAGATTATGTTACTTATAGCATGAAACTTAGAGTTCATTAATTTAAACGTCTATCTCGTGCTTTTAAGCTTGAAACTACTTTTGTGCAGCAACCTGGCTTTAACCCTCAGGAGTTATCTTGCTTGCTTTATGGTGTGCGGCATATACCTACTTATATGAGTAGTTAAACAGAATGCTGCAAGATTACTTTCAAGAGCCTATTTTCATCCAAATTATAAGAAAAAATTACTTCCGCAGCTATAACCTGTTTTTACTTAAAGATGATAAATGATAAAATGATACTGGTCAAGTATTTATAGTTTCAATACCTGTGTGTTACTTTAGAGCTTTGCTGTACCTACACTACCACAAAGAATGAATCAACATTGTAACTTATGCCCAATGAGTTAACTGACCTTTTAGCTCAACAATGTCTAGATGGGATGATCCATAGGGCTATACGCTAATATTCATCCTTATATTTAGCTTGGTCGAATCACAAGTTGTTCATATTTACTTTGAGCTTGATCCAAGTTTTTACAAATATATTCATGCTTAAATTTTTTAATGATCATACTTGATTTGTATTTAGCTTATTTATTTTATTTGATCAACCTAAAGATTCAAATAAATACTTAATTTTTGATATAAACTTAAACAATTAATAATTTGAATGAGTACTTAATGTTTTATGTAAAATTATTAACAAATAATTTTACAAATCTAAATAAATAAATAATTAAATAAATTTCAAATTAACATTTAACTAATTTATACCGAGTAAATAAAATAAAATATAAATTTTAAGCAAGATTACTAATTAGTTTATTGAAATAAAAAAATAAGAAAAAATTATAATATATTTATGTGCATATTGATATTAAATTATTGTATGTTACTGTTAAGTAGATAATTAAATACGCATTAGTTAATGAAATTTTATTGAAGTCATATATCATAGAAGTATTGAGCATTTAACCCGCTATTTGTTAAATAAGAAACGAGCTTCACTAGAAGAATTGAGCATATTTGCGTCAGCTAGATCAGACACAAATCAAACGCAAAACCGACGATATTTAAAGATTAACGTCGGATTTGCGTCTGATTTATTCTGACGTTAAATTGTGGTTAATTTTATTTCCGTTAAATTTACATCCATTATGACACAAATTATTTGCGTCGGATTGATTATACATAGCGTGCTTTGACATTCGCGTCTGAAAATATCTAAAGATGAATATTAGCGTCAAATTGCCATCTCATTTACGTTGGAAAAAATCGTAGAATTACTAAATATTATTGTCGTTTTAGCATCGAAGTTTGCGTACAAAAGTTGATGCAAACCTCTAACATAAAAAAAATTTAGAATATCAATTGTATTTTCACAATCTGCATAAAAAAAACATTTCACATCACATACCACATTAATCATAATCATATCACATATCAAATCTCTAAACAATATCATTAATAAAAGAAATATACTGTTACAATTGTTCCAAATAAGAATAGTAAAGTTAATCGAAAAAAATTTAGGATAAATGTCTGACATATTTCTTATAAAGAAAAGAAAACATAATTAAAAAACTACTCATTATCTTTATCTTTCTTCTCTTTCAACATGGATGTCATCGGTTGCTTGCCCCGTTTATCTGTTAAGGTCTTTGCCATGCATACTATAGAGTCCTCGACTCAATGTTGGCCTAGTAGCATTTGCTTCCATAACTAGCAGATCTCCTCGTTCATTGCAAACACTTGTCTGACAAGAGTCTCCTGGTTTGGTTGTGAGGAGCTCGAGGAACTAAGAACGGGCCACTAGAGAGCTCAGCCTCGAAGGCTATGCCCTTTGCTCCAAGGCCAAAAACCCTCCCGTTTTTCATCTCTGCAGCTTGAATCCAAGGCTCGTACTTCGAATATGTAGTGGTAGACTGACTGTTGCAAGTGCCTTTCCCGGAGCTGCTCGAACTCCTTCTGCATGATGAAAGTAGCGTTTAATTGACACTTTCAACAATTAGAGTTAAAATAAAATTTTAATTTAAGATTTTAATTTCACTAGCAACCTGCCGGGAATGCTCTGAAACCTACTGCACAGTCCCCGGGCACCGATAAGTTCGGACATGCAACTCGACAACGGAGGGAACACGACTCAACTTCTTGGCCTGTGTAGCGTACAAAAATGGTTAGCGCTAAAAAATTGCTCTAACATTTGAATTAATGTTTAAATATCTAAAAATATTTTACCAGTCTTCTGTGGTGCTCCGTATGAGGGACCAATTCACCAATGTGGAGCACAGCTCGTGTTGCCCCCTCTGTCGCCCAGTTCACCCTGTTCGTCTGCTTCCTCTCATAATCCGGAGAGACCCAAGTTGCGGTCAACTGACCCCAGGGCCTCTCACCAATCCAGGCAGGTCGCTCGCCCCTTCGGCTGGCTGTCGTGAACATGTCGGCAAGGCGATGTCTGCCTTGAATCTCGAAGATTCGGCTGATCTGCTGGTGGTGGTCTGGGAGTCAGGTGAATGCCCTTTCCAAAATTAAAAAAATAATCCATGTGTTAGTATAAAAGTTTAAATCAAATTTACAAATCTTACTCAAAATACATGATGGTATCTAAAACTCTCTGAACCACTTGTCCCTACATGTATATGCTTCCACGGCAGATAGAGCTCATCGTTCTTGCTCCTGATAATCTCTGTGATGCAGGTGACGAGGAGCTTGTGAGGAATGAATTTGCATAAGAAATATATTAGTTACCAAAAAATATATAACATGAAGAATAAACATAATGCAATGTTCAAAATAACTTATGAGTCCCCCTCTGACGGTAACTATACCCGGGGAGCAGGAGTCAACGGTCCAGGCTCAAGAGCTGTGCTAGCAGCAGGTGGAGGATAAGGTGCAGAAACAACATGCGTCAAAGGAGACGGGGCAACATCGGGTGTGGGAGTAGGTGCCATGGGATGGGTGACAACAACGGTTGCGGGAGGTGCTACAAGAGGTGTAGTAGCAGCCGGTGGAGGAGGTGCCATAGGAGATGTAGCAGTAGCAGGTGGGGGAGGAGGTGCCAAAGAAGGTGCAATGGTAGTGGAAGTATCGATAGAAGTAGACGACCTCCTCTTCCTTCTACGGTCGGTGGTCTCAAGGGTCCCCAGAACACGGTCTATGAGATGGCTGATCACCTGTAACCATTTGCAAACAAAGAAATACATTAAAAAGATTAGTATTGACAGGAAAAATAATCCTAAATAGAAAGAAACAGTGCAATAAACGTAAAACACAAGTAGCAATAATGTTTAAAACCTGGAAAAATGAGAGTAAAGAGCTATGCCTCAAATCATTTAATACACATCACAACAACACTACATCCAACCATATCACAGAACAAGCTCTTAAAAATATCAATACTGAAAAAGGAGATACTGTTTTATCTAAATTATCAGAAGTTTGCATTTACACTGATCAATATAAATTCAAACATTTCCTAAATTAAAAATAAATAAAAACTCTTTCTAATCCTCCTGCTCATCCTCCTTTTTATCCTCCTCTTCAACTACAACAATCATCGTTTGCTTGCCCCAACGATCTTCTATAATCTCTATCAGACATGCTATACTCCACTCAAATTTCAGCCGCCTTCACATAAATGGTGAACCTCCTCAGTCATAACAACGACTTTCCTGACAAGCCCTGCAGTGCTCGGTTGTGACGAGCTTGTGCCACCCATAGAAGCACGAGATATCCAGACCTTCTTCTTCCCTGCCACCTGCGTCCTTAGCTCTAACTTAGACTACGCAGTGGTAGACTGACTAACGCCATTGGTGGCAGTGCTCAGGGTCTGGGAGGGCAACTGCCTCTCTCATAACTGCTCGTACTCCTACATAATAAAAACCAATTATTAATTGTCAATTTAAACATTAAGAGAAAATAAGTATGAAAAAAATAATTTTTTACTTACATTTACCCGCTGAGGTGGCTGATCACCAACACTATCTGTGGCTAGTTGTAGCAGGGCTAACAACAAAAATAATCAGGAGCAATATACACAAGTAAAATGAAGAATGTGCAAAATCTAAACTGGAAACATACCGTAACTATGTCTGAAACAAAAATTAAAATAGGATAAGTATGACATACAAAGCAAAAAACAAACAAAAAGTTCATGGATATATTCATTTCAAATTTTGCCTCTTAGTGTTTAGTCACTCATCCACATTAGCATAAGTCTAAATTAACTTACTTTTCTGCTTCTTTTATATGCTAACATTATGCACCATAAAGCATTACAACCCTCACCGCCTTCTTATAAAATTTATGTTCAAGTCTAAGTGGTACTTTTCTATGTATCATAAGTCTTATGCATTCCTTCACTTCAACCATTCAACTTGAAGTAAAAATAAACCTAAAATCTACATTAACATAAGCATATGGTAATCGATTAAGCGCAGGCTTCTAACTTTTCAAGCTTGACCTTTCCTTTCAACTCACTTTTCCAATTTGCATTAACATAATCTAAACCTAAAATGACAAGAGATAGTGCTAAACCTAATTTAAAACCCATAAATGAATTTATGCTAATATAACATAAACTAAAAAAAGCTACTTAAAATCAAATCTTAATTAAACTACATTCAATATAAAACTAAACCTAAAATCTACATTACTCCAAACCTAATCTTAAAAGGAGAAAGTAGATCTCACCATCATTGGGTTGAAGGCAACCTCCATCTCACTAAGTTCTCTATGCATGAACAAGAACATTTATGAGTTTGTAACTCATCTTTAATCTTTTTTTAAGCTTTAAGTAGAAAACTACTTCTACTTTGAAGAGAAAGAGATGGAGAGAAAGTTCATTCAATTCTCATTGTCTTATAAGGTGGTTAAGTGGCTCTCACTTAAGCTAAATTGAGAGAATGAAGAAACGGGGAAGGGGGAAGAGCCCTCTCCAT